GGAGGAGAAATTGTTGTTTTGGAATTCCACTTGGAATTAAACTCAGTTTTCAATTATCCCTTTTGGTTTGTCTGGTAACATGTTGGATCACTCTTTACAACTTTTCATAACTTTAAGCCCAACTCTTCAAGAAAATAAAAGAATTTATGATTTTAAAATAGAAATGATAATTTAGGGAGAAAATTCATTAGTTTAAAATAAAAATATATACTGAAATAGGTTCAGTCAAGGCACATATGTGTTCAAATGCTTCTTTGATTTAATGAATGCTAAAGAAGAGTCTTCAAGTCTAAAGTCTATTATATGCTTATAAAAATGGCATTTAAGGCCTAGTCATCCCATCTTATGCTTATTGAAGTACACTAACAGATTGTGTGTGTGTGTGTGTGTGTGTGTGTGTGTGTGTGTGTGTATTTCACAGTTCTAGAAACATCACAGAATGGGAGAATGAATAGACATTAATTTTCCTGATTGGATCGAAAATAAAGTTTACCAGCAGTTACTAAGTTTTTGCTGGGAAGGTGAGGAGAATCCCTCACCATCCCTGAGAAGGCATAATCCAAAGCTGGTCGGAAAGGCAATGCAGGAACCAACCCAGGAGTTAGGTAGGGCGACATAAAACCAGAGAGTGCTCTTCCAGGTGAAGAATATGCCAGGCGTAATGGACTGAATGCTAGTCTAGGATTAAAACTGTAGAGACTTGAATCACCTTCGTAAGAAGCAGATGTGGTTTGAAGAGAAGAGAAAGCTGATTTATTACTTAGAGTTCCAAAACCAATTCCAGCAAGACTAAAACTTGAAGCTCTCTGAAAAGTAGTATTTTCCAAATCTGAGTTTGCTAGGTCCCTGGAGTCTGGCTTATGTTCCTTCCCATTTAGAATCTGTTCAATAGCTTGGACTACATCCCCTTTGCAGAACTGTAGAATGCCTTCTAGCCGGCTACGCTTGTAACTTGGAAAAATCTTGGTAAGAATTCCGAGAGGATCTTTTGGTCTTGAGGCAACTGTGGAAGGGCTGGCTCTGGTAGCAATGTAGTCTTTGGTCCACTCACTTTCATTTCCTGATTCCAGATCAGAGGAAGAGAAGGACCTAGGACTGTCTTCTCCTCCCGATTGCCCTATGGAGTAAGGAGACAGGATGCTGTCAGACTTGGTTGAGTGTTCTGAAATAGATGACATGATGCGTAGTTCCCCAGTGATACCATTACCCTTAGGAGATGAAAATTGGTGGGTCTTGGAGACTGGTTCTCCTTGTCCACTCTGGCATGAGTCACAGTTACTGTCTTTTTGTTCTGCAGAAAAGAAAACAAAAAATAACTGAACAAAGGGCAAACTTGCCAGACCTACCTAGTACTGCCCACTCATAAAAAAAAAAGATGAATGAATATTCACTCATTCTAATTATATTGGTAATATTTATTAATGCTAAAACACTTTAATGAAATTCAAGCTTAAGAAATAATTCCAGGGGCTGGAAAGATGGCTCAGCAGTTAGGAGCACTGGCTATTCTTGCAAAAGACCCAGGTTCAAATCCCAGTGCCCACATCACATCATTAACTCCAGTTCCAAGGGATCCAACACCCTTTCTGTCCTTCACAGGCACTGCATGACATCGGAGTATTTACACACATGCAGGCATGCACATAAAACACTCATACACATAAAATGGAATAAATAATAGATAATAATAAATAAATTAAGAAAGAAAGAAAGAAAGAAAGAAAGAAAGAAAGAAAGAAAGAAAGGGAAGGAAGGAAGGAAGGAAGGAAGGAAGGAAGGAAGGAAGATTCTGAATTTGCAGGTGCTGGAAGATTGGAGAATAATGTTCCTTGTGTTATTTCAGGATCATGAAGCTATGCAGTATTTAAATCCTTTAGAATTTAAGTACCAGAAGAGGAGAGTTTGTTGTTATCAAAAGGATTTATGAAGTACTATCTCAGTACTGGGGAAATTTTCATAAATGTTCAAGTTTTGTTATCTAAGTGAGGTTTTTTCCCATAGACACCATGTGAAAAGAACTAAAAGCAATAGTTAGGCTTAGATAAGAAATCATAAAAATTAAGAATCTTAGCTTGAATGTAAATATTCTATTCAACCCCTAATGCTAAATTTCAATAATTAACTTTTAATGTTCACTTTCAAGTATCAGTCAAGTAACTTAAATAATTTGGAGAAATAAGAGATCATTTATTTCATTTCAGAAGGAATCAGATGCCTTCAGGTGGAATACCCATAAACCATTTCAAATTTACAGCAGTAACGATTCCTGCAATATCTGTATCAAACCATGTGAGACTTGTGCCATTCACTTTGTGTATGGATGACCAAAACAACTTGTTATTTTCATAACTCTTGGTGAAAGATGAATTTTCTTTTTCAATCTCTAAGAAACACTAAGAAAAAACTTTAAAACCAAGTCTCCCTAAAAAACACATCTACTACACAATTGCATTCTGTATGGATCCCGTCGAAACAATACATTGGATGTTTGAACCCCACACCCCAATACTAAGGGAAATTTTCTAAAATATGTTTTACATAAACCTCATTTTTTAAATCTAAAAATGTCGAGTATATAAGTTAAACAAGAATATTTCATTACTATACTGCCAAGCTAACACTTAGCACCTAACATAATGCACACACACCAAATAACTTTTATTTGGCTGTGCATTTCCTCTTACCCTGAAAATACACATTATTTCCAAAAAGGAAATCTATCCAAGAGGATAACCAGAATATTTCTCCCCAACCTTCTTTCTCTACAGTTCAAGAATCTAATATAAATACTACCTGAAGCAGTGGTCTGCAACTGCTATTTAGAGTATTCTCATGTTTTCCCCGGATTTTAAAGAAATACTCACAAAATCACCCCCCATAAAAATGTCTATAATTTATGTAAAAGTTAAAGCATGCCAAACTTAGCACTGGAAGAGCCAAAAGGCTTTCAACCAGACCAGGTGGCATTTGCCATGTGCAGATAAACCGCTGTGCGCCTCCCTCACGTCTCCTCATGAACAGGATTTTCTGAACATACCCCCCAAACACTGCAAGTATCAAAGCTGCATCTCTGTTGGAAATTTTTCTAAAATAAGTTATTGTTACTATGTTGGACTCACATGACAAATATATGTAAAGAACTACTGATTACAAGCTGTGTGTAGTGGCTCACACCTGTAATCCCTGTGCTGAGGAAGGAGGGTTACTAGGAGCTGACAGGAAGCCTGGGCTACATGGGTGAAATCCTGTCTCAAAACAAAAGGAAGCACATGAAATACTGATTGCATATGACTACTTTGAAGATAAAGTGTCTTTAAAATATGTTGATATCACTTCCCGGTCTCTTTATCCTCTCAAGTTCTGGAGCTTTGTTTTATCTCGACATTTGTCCTTTTACTGTGGTTTCAGATGCTTATAGTCTTCCCTCTTTTGAACATAATGTTCCTTTTTTATTGGAAAATGTTATTCACCTCTGCATCACTGTAAGTCTTTGTCTTGTGAAAGAATAAATTAAATGCAACATCTTACTATAGTTCATGGATATTGTGTAAGAGGAAGTGGTCAATTTAAAAAGCCACTGAAGCACACTTTGAAACACATTTGCTTTTTATAAGGGCATCATCACTGGTAAAATAATCTAATAAAATAAGGCCTGTACAATGTACATTTTGGTACCAAAACATTAAATAAATCTATACAAATCTATATTGTCAATACCATGAGCTGAATCTCACTACTAGCTTAAAGAATTCTAGTATCTGCTTCTCTTTTATGGCAATTTTGTTTAGTAATTTTTCTCATCATTCTTTCTTGATCTCCCCTGAGAAAAGCTTACAGTCTATTTCATCTATTGAAATAACCTAGAACACTTGTCAAAAGCAGATATAAATCCAAAAACAATATGTCACTTCAATAGATTATTTTTTTTCAAAATTACACCCTGTATTAAGATCTGCATTTTTCACAATTCATGGAAAGTTTCCAATTAATAATTTACTGTCCATTTATCACAAAGCTTCATATGATACAAATTATTTGGGACTTTAACAAAAAGATCAAAATGAAATTTCACTATTCATGGGCCCCTCGGAGGGCTATAAAATTCATGAAAGCACGATGGAATTTACATTAGCAGGGAAAAAAGAAATTTAGGCTATCTTTACTCATATATCTGAAGACAGGAGATTTGAGCCATTGATTTGCAACCAAACGAGTGAATATGAAAAGTCCTCTGGTGATAACTCTCCAGGTTTAAATTGACATTTTTAGTGATTTCACAAATCGGAAAACTTAAAATTCGTTCCTATGGGAACTAACACGTCAATCACTAGAGCTTTCTAAGTCTTTGGAGTTAGTGCTTAGAGGGCAGAGAGACGGGTTACTAATTTCAGTCTCTTGCCAGTTTGTAGCTGGCCACAGAACTTTGCCCCCAAAGCGAAAAACTGCACACTAATCACCGTCAGTAAGTTTCCCGTGCAAGATCAGAAGATTCCCTCTGGTTTCACCACTGAAAAGAATACAAAAGCACGCAGAGTCGCTAAGCTTTTCTCTGAATGCCGGCCTGAGTTCTGCTCACACAAAGTCAAAGCAGCCTGCGTGCACATCTCTCTATTCCCAGGGCGAGTTACGTGCCATGATCCCCCAATTTGACTTATTTCATGCATTTCCCTCTAACTTAAGGAAACAGACCTTCCCTAGTGAAAATGATAGACTCCTAACACCCCAGCTGCCGTCCACATCACAGAAGAGTTTTCCAAAACTTGAGCCTTTCTAACTTTTCCGTCCAGGCGCCTCTAGGGCGGTGCTGTTTGGTTCAACGTGTTCCTCCAGAACAATCTTTCTTTCAGCGAAAAGCAAACCAAGCGCCCACTCACCTGGCTGGAAAACCTCGAAAGCTGGGGTGGCGGGCCTCTTGGAGGCGGCGGCGGCTCCGAGCTCAGCCTCCGTGGCAGCGCTGCCCACCGCCCGGGGGTTCTCGGTCCTGCCGCCGCCCCGGGACGCCAGAGCCCCAGACCCCGAGGGTCCAGGGCACCGGAGCCGCTGCAGCCGGAGGGCCTCGCTCTCCTCCTGCGCCTGCTGTCTGCGCAGCGCCACTTGCGCGGCCATGACGCGCTGGCGCTCGGCGATCAGGGTGCACTTGGCACACGCGCAGTCCCTCCAGCGGCAGAAGCGCTTGTGGCCCTTGAGTGCCGACACCACTCCGTGGTTGCGACAGCGGGCGCACTTGGGAGTTCTCGGGTAGCCGCGGCCCACCGAGCCCAGCGTCCCGTCCGGCCCCGGGGAGGCCGCGCATCCTCCGTGGCCAGCGCTGGCGGCCGCCCGCAGGAACAGGCCCGGAGGCCTCAGGAAAGCTGCGGAAGCCGGGATTCCCGACTGGAGCGGCGGCGCAAGCGACGAGGGCGCAGCTGCCCCCAGCCCCGGGGCGGGTAGCAGTCGGCCGCTGGGGTGGTCCCCGCTTCCAAACCGCGACTGCTCCATCCCGGCTCCGGCGAGGAGTGCCGAGCGGCCAGAGCTGTGCAGAGCTGCCCGGGGACAGGCTGGGCGCGGAGGACGGCTCCCTCACGCCCGGCGGGAGACCGCGGGGTACCGGAGCTCCGGGACCTAAGGGTGCTGCAGGTCTCCAGCCGCCCGGAGTCCCGACCGCAGGGTACAGCTCTGAATTCTCCCGAGCCAGGACCGGCAGGCAGGAGCCGTCACCCCGCCCTACCAGATCTGCCTGCCAAGGGCGGAGAGTGGGGACCTTCGGAGAGGAGGGCACAGAGAGACGCTAGGAACTGTCCCTATAGGCTGTGATTGCCATTCCCGCAAAGAAACCTTCTGCCCCCACTTTCTTCCGCATCACTTCCTCAATGTGTAGTTTGTAAAATAGTCCTACTGTCTTCCCTTTACTGTCCTAAACTAAGATTCGAAGTTCTTTCTCCCACTCCATTCTTCTACTAAGCAAGTTTGAAAATCTGTATTTTTTACCTTTCTCTCTTTTCCCAAGTCTTCAAGATGCCAACGTGACCCGAGTTAATGACAAAGCACAGCTTGAAAGACCGATCATTGCTCAGTGGAAATATGCTTTATTTTTAAAAATGTTTAAGAAAAAAAGTGGATAGTTGGGAGAATTGATTCCCAATCAAGCTGCTGTTCGGGCATTCTTTCTACTTCTGCGTGCACATTTGGATTATGTGAAGAGTTTGGGTTAGTTTTGAAATGTTTGCTGCTGAAGGTCACTCTGAATCGCCTCTCTGGAACTATAGACAGTCATTGTGTTGAAACTTTTCCAAAAATACTTCACATTTCTCTTGCAAAATATCGAGAAAGGTGTTTTAGATGGTCCTTTCAGTATGCTCTCAAAAATGCACTCATGAACTATACATGTAACATCATACTGCTTTCAAACCAAAAGAGCATTTAAGACAAAACTCGGTTTGCTCTGGAGGAAGAGTCAGTGCTCTTGTCAGCTCTGCATAAAAAATATCCAAGTGCCATAACAGGCCATTCATTTCTAACCCTGAAACAGCCAGTAACCATGATAATTTAATTGTTCCATGATGCATCCAGCTGAGACAATCTGGATTAGTCCTGACTGTCCACACCAAACCTTCACCACGACGACCCCACCACCACCACTTTCCTCCTCCTTCAGAGACATGCTATGCTGTCACAGAGATTTCTCACCCTCCCTAAACATTGGACAGACCTAGAGAACTTTAAAAAGATATAGTTATCACAACCTAAGTACTCTGATTCTTTTGGAGTGAGTCTTAAATTCTCATGGTAATGAATACTGGTAATCAATGACTATAACTGCCACTCTGGAAATTCCTAAACTCTGGTGCTTTTGATGCCCAAACTTCCACACCTGCCTAAGAAATAATGATTCTCTATTTTGAAACTTATCTCCAACATATGAGAGGTAGGTTTTTAATGCTATGTGAACGATCATAAGAATATGAATTAACTGCTGAATAAAGCAATTGTTTTTCTATTCACTCTAGGAACTGACTACACAAAGAAAAATGTTTAGTGTAGCAAAAGCATCTTTAAATGTTTTCCTGACTTACTGAATATACCTCTTAATGCACCCACAAAAAGTATCTACCAGATTTTTAGCAGTGCTTTCCCTTTACAGATTTGATCCCAGTATTGCCTTACAATTACGGCAAGTGAAATATTATTTTCCTTCCAAGAAAGTGAAAATAATTTTATGTAGATGTATTGAAATAAAATGTGTGCAATTTAAATGAAAAATGAAGTGATGCAAATAAACACGTGGTGAGGGAAATGCATATGTATTAGTGATTGCAAAATTTATTCAAATAAGGATCTTTCTGGCTTATACAAGGCAGCATAGTTAACTGGGAATGAATAAAAGCTTTCTCTCTAAAATCAGGAGCAAAACAAAACAAGAAAGTCCACTTTGATTCGGTTATATTAGAAATAAGGGCCAATGTAATCAGGTAAGGAAAATGTTAGAGTTATTCAAACTAGAGTGAATTTCATAAAATACACTTTGCTTGCAGATGACAGGAGATCACATATGCATAAAACTGAAAAAAAGTCAAAACTAAAATGACTTTTTGAAAGTTTTCAGGATGTAAGATCAATATACAAAGCCATTGAATTTTTTATAAATTGAAATAAAGTCAAATGTTCACTAATTTAATCAAGGAAATAAGCCCATTCACTGTAGCAGTCAAATACAAAACACTTGAGGCTATTTTTAATGAAATGCATGAAAAAATTGAAAAGTAACAAAATTTTGCTGACAAATTAAATATTCTATGTTTGTGGTTGAGAAGACATCTTTATGATAATAGCTCTGTCTAAATTGATCTACTGATCAATTCAATCTGCAAAACAAAAATTCCAACCAGCAGGCATTTTTCACAGAAATTTTCAGACTCTTTTTAAATTCATATAAAAGTACAAAGGGCCGGGGCGTGGTGGCACACGCCTTTAATCCCAGCACTTGGGAGGCAGAGGCAGACAAAAAAAAAAAAAAAAAAAAAAAAAAAAAAAAAAAAGTACAAAGGAAGAACCTCATCAAATCCCAAAATATCCTTTAAAAGAATAACGTTGCAAGGCAAGCTTACCTCAAACATCACCTCATTCCAAGAATTATTACAAAATCATGGTAGTCAAAACTGTAATACCAGCCAGGAGTTGTGGTACATACCTTTTATCCCAGCACTCAGGAGGTAGAGACACACAGATCTCTGTGAGATTGAGGGCAGCCTGGTCTATATAGCTATTTGCAAGCCAGCTGGAGCTATAGGAAGCCCCTGTCTTTAAAACAGAAACCAACCAATGTGACAGACTATAGATCAACCTACAGGTAAATATACAACTAGTGTTAGACAAAGGTACAGACAGAGACATCACAGTAGAAAGAGGTTATTCTTTCAGCGAGCTTTACCAGAAAAATTGGATGTTTGTGTACAAAATACTCACTTTTACTCATATGTGAGAACAATATAAAAATTAAGCTCAAAACAATCTCAGATGTCTTTAAAATGACATAAAATGATCAAATCTAGAATACCTTTAAGACCTTGGATCATAAAAAAGGGGCCACAACATAAAAAGCATGACCCATAAAAAGAAAAGTGGCATATTTTATTTTGTCAAAAATACTTAATGGAATACTTACAATAGTTTAATGGAATACTACTTATTAATGTCAGGTGTTAAAGGTATATTCTACAACATACTCAGCCAAAAATGATTATTCTAAGGGGAGGAAATAAGAAAAAAAGAAGATATCCAGTATAACTTATAAAAATCCTAGACATCTTTGTGAAACTTCACCACCAGTGGTGAGATAGGGAGAAGGATATATGAACAAGAAGAAAAATTAGGGAGGTAATCAAAGTGCTAATTATTTTAATTATTGTAATGATTTTACTTTTGAATTGCTTACACTCATCTAATTATGTGTATTAAGTATTAAAGTTTATTATATATCATTCCTACTCTAGCAAAACTATTATAAAATAGTTACCACCATAAGCAGAAAGCATAGACTGACATAAAGGCAAAGTGAGAAAAATTAACTCTGACCTTAGCACTCAAAACTGGAGCGACTTTCCACACTTTGACTTCTCCTCACATATACTGGAAACCTGAATATTTCTCTGCCCCATCATGCTTTGCTCTTCTCCCTTTCTTTGCTTTCCCTTCCCCTCCTCTCCTCTCCCCTTACCTTATATTAGTACTATTTGTTCCATGCTTTTTCAAATATATGTATATTTTTTTCTTTTCAATCCATCAGACAGCAATTAAATACCATTACTTTTCTCATAAGTCACACTAAGAAGATCTTAATAGTTACAATTTAACATGACAACAGTCTCATCGAGTGAAAAGATGATGTTATTAATTAAACTATGTGCAAGTATTACAACTATTGCATTTCCAAATGTAAGCTAAATAGTCATCCAATAAATGGAAACTGCTGAGGTATATGAGAAGGAAACTGATAAATACAATTACTCCCATACTCCAAAGCATTTTTCGTCTTCTTTCCTAAAAAGATCAATTCTGTTGCCATTCTAATTCTCTATTCACCCTAGACTCTGGAAGTCAATTGACATTTTGTTGGTGTTATGCCATGCCAACCTCTGAACAAATTGTTTGGAGGTGCTGGTCTGCAATTTTAAGTACAGATCTGTCTCCGACACAAGCCAACTATAAGACCTAAGTGCAGTCATTTATCTGCCCAGCATTATTTTCTCCATTGGCAAGAGAAGACATTGAATCATCTCCAAGGATGTTTTCCGAACTGTGCTTCATTTCATTTGTTGTATCTAGTGTGAAGCTATTCATTAATTTTCTTGCCCTCTGATGAATCTCATTACTAATCCTCTTCCAAGGCATCTCTCATTGCAGCTATCTAAAAATAGAGAAACTTCAAGCTCAACTAGCAACATTCAGGTTCTCATGGTGAAAGTGCAGCCACATTTTTCTCTTTCACAGCTCCTCTCCTGAGATAAAGGCCCATCAGAAGACAATCCTAAGACTTTTCTGTCTGCATGTAGATTTCTGGGAGTTTTCATGTTAATTCTTCTAGTTCTTCTAAAAATAGTTCTATTTCTATATCTACAATTCAATTTTTTAAAAATAGCCTTTTAACTTTCTTCATTTGATTAGTGTTACTCTTCCAGATCATTTTCCAAATACTACTTTGATTTAGGAATCACTTAAAAGGTAAAATATAGACAACTTTGAAATGAAAAACGAGCCTAGAAGAACCTCGCATTGTGGTGTGTAATTGAGTATACAAAGGTGAAAACCATAGAAAATGAGGCCAGAATGCGATTGACAGAAGCCCAGGAAAGAAGAGAGTGTGGCATGTTCTCTGTTAACCTGTTGATAAGGAAAAGGGAACTTACACAGTTACACTGAATGAAGACTTTGTCAAAGGACTGAGGGTTTTAGAGGAAAACTTCTACACTATTTTTTTCAAGCACTGGGATATACAAGTCACTCTTTGTCTTCAGAACATATGGGAGCATACCTTTGACAATCCATTTTCTCTAAGATTTCCCAGAGCCATAATATTTGTTGTAATGTCATGTTTTGTCAGAAGGGGAGACCCAGTTTTTAATAGCATTTTATCTTTTCTCGGTTTGTTCAAGATGGTATTGAGCATTACCATAATTAAGAGGCTATGTTCTGCAGGGTGACATAAATTCTAACCTCATTTTCCACACTTAATATTACCATACTTAATACCTCTACCTTGCGATATTTATTTTGTTTTTATTCTCCATTTTAAAGAAAAAGATGAAAATGTTTTCCCGCAAAACTTTTAACTAGAGCTTATCAAATAGCTAAGCACCCAGGTGTGGGAAGAAATAAACTTCCTCTGGAATACGGCCTTTTCTAGAGTACTATTGAGAGAAATAGTGACATGTTTCCCAT